CGCTGGACGCCCACGTAGTCGACCGCGGTTCGCGTCCCGGACCCGGTGGCTTGAAACTCACGCTGGGCGCGTGTGCGTGCGCCCTATAGTGGCACGCGCCCTATAGTGAAAAAAAAAAAAAAAAACCTCTCAAAAAAAAAAAAAGTTATATGTGAATGTAAAAGACAAAACATATAAAAATGTATATGTACCCATGTAATCATAGAAGCAAAATACATATATGGGAAATAGTTATTACATCAAGGTGATAATAATTTCCTTCGGTTCTCTACTATTCCAAAATTTTAATGATGTAGTTATAATAAATATTTTTAAAGTATTTATTCTTTTTTAAAAAATTATTTATTTAATTTTATTTATTCATTCATCCATTTCAATTTGACCAGAGAGAGATACAGAGAGAGAGAGGGAAAGTGAGAAAGCAAGCCACCAGGTCCAGTACTCGAACCGCGGTTGGCCATGTGGGAGTGTCCAGCACCTCAACCACCATGCCACCCGCTGGTCCCCTTAAAGTATTTATTCTATGTTTAATGTTCTCCTTTCTTTTGTTTTTGGAGAGGTTTCTGTTATAGGGCACATGCGCTCGCCAGACAAACAAGAGACAGACAGAAAGCGAGAAATCACCCCCCATGGGGGACGGCCACGCCATAATCCCTTCTCCTCCGTTCTCCTCTTGGGATCTTGGGCATGCACATACACGCGCCTGGCATGAGTTTTAAGCCACGGGGTCCAGGACTCGAACTGCGGTCAACTACGTGGGAGTCCAGTGACATAGCCATTACGCTAACTGCTAGTCCCACGTTCTCCTTTCTTGACTATACCAATATTTCAATCGATAATCATGTTGGGAAAGATGAAAATGGTGACTAGGGACTCCAGAATCCCAACACTCACAATATGCTCAACAGAGAAAGACACATCCCTACATGGCTGGCAACTCTTTATGAAAATATGTGGGGTATAATGACTACAGAAGAATGGTCTTGCAGGTAGGCAGAGGAAAAGCAAAGGGACGCAGATTAGTAAATGACAGCACACCCGGTTTCACAAGCCTATTAGAAGGTTCCTAGTTTCAAATGGCCACGCTTCTATGTTCCCTCATTCTCATCACAGGTAAACCAAAGGGACCACAAACTGTACTAACCTTCTATCTCCCAAACACCAAAATTCGTTTTCTGGGGAACCAGCAGTTAGCGTAATGGCTATGTCACTGGACTTCCACGTAGTTGACCGCGGTTCGCATCCCGGACCCGGTGGCTTAAAACTCACGCCGGGCGTGTATGTGTGCGTGCCCAAGATCCCGAGAGGGGAATGGAGGAGAAGGGATTGCAGCGTGACCATGCCCCCTGGGGGGTGATTTCTCGCTTTCTGTCTCTATGTCTCTCTCTGTCTGTCTGGCGAGCGCACGCGCCCTATAGCGAAAAAACCTCTCCAAAAAAAAAAAAATTAGTTTTCTGTTTTCAAAAAGTAAAAAGAGAAACAACTTTAAAATTTTTTTTCTATAGGGCATGTGCTGGAGAGAGACAGAGAGAGAGAGGGAAATTGAGAAATCACCCCTCACGGCAGATGGCCATGCTGCAATCCCTTCTCCTCCATTCTCCTCGTGAGATTTTAGGCATGCACGCACACATGTCTAGTGTGATTTTCAAGCCGCCAGGTCTGGGACTTAAACCGTGGTCGGCCAGGTGTGAGTCTAGCACCGTAATCTGCTCGCCACATACTAGTCCCAAAAAAGAAACAACTTTTAATTTATTGTTTATATCTTTTTTTTTTTTTGGAGAGGTTTTTGCTATAGGGCACATGTGCTTGCCAGACAGAGACAGAGAGACAGGAAGTGAGAAGTCACCCCCCAGGGGGCATGGTCATGCCACAATCCCTTCTCCTCCATTCTCTCAGGATCTTGGGCACGCACACACATGTGCCTGACTTGAGTTTAAGCCACCGAGTCCAGGACTCGAACCATGGTCGACTACATGGGAGTCCAGCGACATAGCCATTATGCCAACTGCTGGTCCCTCAATAACTTTTACTTTAAAAAAGAAAGAAAGAAAAGCACATCAAGTTCTCGTAAATCATTCCCTGTGGGGCTGGCAAGTGGCATGGTGGTTAAAGGCGCTAGACTCCCACACGGGCAACCACGGTTCAAGTCTCAGACCTGGTGGCTTGCTTTCTCACTTCCTCTCTCTCTCTCTCTGACTCTCTCTGATCAAACTGGAAAATAATAATAATGATGATAATAATAAATAAAGTTAAATAAAATAATTCTTTTTAAAAAAATCATTGCCTGTGTGGTCGTGACACTGAATAAAATAGATTTGGAAACAACTTCAGAATCCTACGTAAAGGAGAGAAATCTCCCCACCCTGAAACAAGGTGAGCCTCAGGAACGAAACAGGCTGTGGCAGTCGGAGTTAGCGCCCATCTGGTTGTGGCCACGATCCTGGGCTTGGCTTCACGCGCTGCCTTTCCCCTGAAGTCTCTCATCTGACAGCCACTCCTCTGGTTGTAATCTATGAGCTGCCAGTATTTACTTATGAGACTGGGAGCTGGAAGGGAAGAAAGGTAAACACACCAAAGCTCAGCTGAGCGACGGATAGGCTTTACGTTTTATTTTCAGGAAACGACATCTTATTTTCACAAAGAAGAGGTAAGCCATCCTCTCAAAATAGAGGCTACCTTCAGGGGCAGCCATGGAGTACACCCAACCTGCCCCAAACAAATGTGGGCAGAGGTATTTTTGATGCATCAAACCATAACAACAACAAAAATAAAAATATTAATAATAAACAAACAGAACCCGAATGTTCCATTCAACGTGTAGAGAAGCAGTCTATTAAGTACCCTGAAGCGGCCGGTGTCGTGAGTCTCGGTGGGCCTTCAGGCAATGGTGGCAGCAAGGCTGGCCAACATGGAAGGCGAGAGACAGAGGGCTTCCCGGCTCAGTCTGTGCCATGTGGCTTCTCAGATGACCTCCAGATGGCCCGAGTCACATCCAGAGTCTTCCAGGCCATCGCAAGCTCCCACTGTCCAGTAGTCTATCCTACACCAGCTCTTAGAACAATGGTCTTCAAGACATTCTCTTTGCTTTGGAGACAAAGAAAAGTTTCTGAAATAAAGGAGGAGCCGGATTTCCCTTCTCTGGCCTCCCTGCTTCCATCCTGTCCACCCGCCCTGTCTCCTCCCCACTCAGCAAGCCACAGTGAAAGGAGAAAATGTAAGTCAGATCGTGCCGCTCTGTGCTCAGAGCCTGCTCCCCACTGCTCTCAAGTAAGAGTAAAGTCAGGGCCAGGGTGGTGTGAAGGTTAAGATCCCACATGGACAACTGTGCAGCTGGGAGTCCCAGACCCAGCAGCTTGAAAAACACACCAGAAGACCAGCAAGTAGCGTAATGGTTACAAGGCTGGACTCCCACATAGTTTACTGCAGTTTGAGTCCTGGACCCGGTGGCTTAAAACTCGTGCCAGGTGGGGACTAGCAGGTGGCATGGTGGCTAAGGCACTGGACACTCACACATGGCTGACCACAGTTCGAGTCCTGGACCTGATGACTTGCTTTCTCACTCTCCCGCCCCCTGTCTCTTTCTGGTCAAATCGAGTCCAAATGAATGAATAAAATAATTCTTAAAACAAACAAACAAACAAACAAACAAACAAAAAAACACGCCAGGTGTGTATGTATGCATGTGCGCCCAAAATTCCAAGAGGAGAATGGAGAAGGGACTGCAGTGTGGCCATCCCCCTGCGGGAGGGCAGGAGCAGTGATTTCTTGTTTTCTGTCTGTCCCTCTCCAGTGAGCACATGCACCCTAAAGCAAAAATCTCTCTCAAAAATCAAAAAAAGGAAGAGACAGAAAAACATACTGGGTACATGTACATGGGGGCCCAAAATCCCCAAAGAAGGGAACAAGAAGGGACTGCACTGTGGCCATACTCCACGGAGGCCAATTTCTCCCCCTCCCCCTCTCTCCAGCAAGTTCATATACCCTCAGATTTAAAAAGGAGAATGGAAGGAAGGAAGGGAGGGAGGGGAAAAGGGTTACAGTCAAAGTTCTCTCAAAGGCCCTAAATAACCTGTCCGACCTCCTGACCTTGCCTCCTACTGCCTCCGGTCACTCATCCCAGTCCAGCCACACTGGCCTCCTGGCTGTGCCCAGCCCCGCGGTGCCCTACTCTGACTCTTTCCTCAAGGAGCAGCATGGCTGCTTCTTACAGGCCCTTCTTTGAAGAGCACCTTCTCCGGCCAAGTTCCTTAACTGCTCCAAGGACTGCCACGCTTTCCCTGTTTCCTTACTGGTCCTCCCACATTACACTCCTCTATAAATAGAGTATGCGCTCTTATTTTCAAAGACTAATGTAATGGGGGTTGTGTAACTCAGAAGCCTGTGGTCTGGAAGGCTCAGGGTGTGCCCCTTTGACGTCCTCTGGTGCCTGCCCCACACCTTCCCTTTCCCATCTGCATCTCTGGCTCCTCGTCAGTCTGCCCTGTACGGTCCTCTCTGACTAGTCAGCCCTTAATGGTGGTGTCTTGGGGCTGGGGCCTTGGCCCTTGGCTCTTAGCACCTGTGGGGAGGGCACAAAGTGGCTCACCCCCTGCATGGCTCACGATCCCCACATCCGGACTCTTAACTCAGGCCTTATTTTTCAGGCTGCAGAATCGCAAATTCAAGTAAGTACTTACCGAGTAGCTCCTGATGTCCTAGGGGACCTGAAAGCTGCCTCCCTCCAAACTGCTCCCTATTTTAGTGAATGCGCCCTCTTCCATCTAGGTACCCTGACAGAAGTGTGGGAGTGGGCCTTGACTCCGAGCTCCCTTGCTCCACTCCCCTGCAAGTCAACCCCACAACTGGTGCAGTCCACCCGTCAGCGCCTCCTGAGTCCACCCACTCTGGCCAGCTGGCTGTTAAGTCTCTAGCCCAGCCACCGCGTCCCTGAGTGGGACTGCTGCTCTTTCTTGTTACTCTCTTCACTGCGGCCAGGTTAACCTACCCGGGACAATGCAAACGGGATCAGTCAGACCTCCACCGGACATCAGTTTTCCCCTCACTGCAGACTACATCACAACAGGAGTTAAGACTTGGTGCTCCCGCTCTGCCGACATCTCCAGCCCGCCTGCTCAACACTCTCTCCAGCACTCTGCCCTTCTTTCAGCCCCTCAAAGTCCCCTGTCTTTGCTTCCGGGGTCTCTCCAACTACAATATACAGCGCCCACTTTGCTTCCTCAGGAAAGCCGTCCCTTGCACTGGTTCTCTTCCTGTGGCACTTGGCTATAAGCAGAGCAGGCCCTGAAGCACAACGAAGTTCGAGAGGGCTGGGGCTGTTCACGCTCCGCTCACTGTTACCCCCAGTAACCGGCACTTGGTAGATACTGAGAAGAAAGAAGGTCCCGCGAGGATAAAGGAAGGAAGGACAGTAGGAGACGAAAGAGAAAGAAAAAAAGGGGGGAATGATGATAAAGACAGAAAAAAATTCTAGGAAAAATCTGTTACTGGGGCCAGCAGGTGGCACAGTGGGTAAAGGCTCTGGGATCCTACATGGCCAATGATGGTTTGAGTCCCGGACCCAGAGGCTTGAAATCCCAAAAGGAGGATGGAGGATAAGAGATTGTGGAGTGGCCCCCTCCACCCCCAAAATAGTGATTTCTTACTTTCTCTCTTTGTTTCTCTTCAGTGAACACTCACACCCTATGACAAGAAACTAAAAATAGTCCCCCCAAACCTGCCAGTCTTTAATTTTTTTTTTTTTCTAGAGAGTATGTGCACTTGCTGGAGAGAAAGTGAGGGAGAGAAAAAGTGAGGAAGTACCCGTGGGGGTGGCTATCTCGCAATTCCTCTGTTCTCTGGGGATTTTGGGCACACATGCACACACACCTGGCACATTTTTCAAGCTGCAGGTTCTGGGACTCAAACCATGTAGCTGTCCATGTGAGATCTGCTGCTTTACCTACCATGCCACTAACTGGCCCCAAAGTCTGCTACTTCTCTATCCCATGACAGTTTGTAAAGCTTAAGCTTTGATTAGTCAAAATACTTAGAAGATTAGTGCTGAATTCCCTCGAGGCACAGGACTGATGGATTAAAAGCACCTGCTAACACGCATTCCCTCTGGACGAGCTCAGCCCGTCTCCAGACACTCCTCTCCACGGCCGACTTTCGGCAAAGGAGAGAGGGCACTACCAAGGAATGCCTACCGGATGGGCAGGCGGTACTTCCTAGCACCCCAGCTCGGCCAGTTTCCTGTGTGGTGTCTGCACCACCCTCTTCGCCCACGAGCGCTATAGGCCATGTGGTCTGACCCCTGACCTCTGGAGGAGCCCGCCTCCCACGTTGTATGGCTCACAGATCTTTCTCCCCTCCGCAGCACACCCAAGAGCGATGGCTCCCTCTCTTTAGCAGCCTCAATGCGATACTGTAGTGGCAAAGGAGCCAGATCCTAGTCTGAAAAAGCCCAGAGTTGAAAATCACAGTTCTAAAGCAACAGCGAGATTTTATTTCTAGATCATTTGCTTTTTTCTTTTCCGAGCACACCCAAAGAAACTGCTAGGGAAAGCAAAAAGTGACAGTGTTAACACGCTTGTCAACCAACTAATACTAACGAGCACAGAAGAAACAGGGGGAGGCAGCTGATAGACACGGCTTCCTCACCCCTCCCCCTCCAGAGCCACAGCCTGTGAGGGGGTTTCAAAGCCATTTCCCTTCAGGAAAGCTCCTGCCTACATTCCAGAGGCCACAATTAGGCATGTGACAAGCCCTATGAATGACTGTCACTGCCCAGCTCCAGAGCATCCTTCCTCCAGCTCTGGCATCCTAACCTCCTCCTCCTGTGCTCTGGCTTCACAGAACTTACAACGGCTAACCAGTCATGAGGCAGCACTCTTCCCATGGGGTACGGAACTTCTAGACAATGACCAGTTCGGGAGGCCCTGGCCAGCTCAGAGTCCAGGCGCATCTTGTGTGGGCAGCTCCATGCTGCCACGGGCAGGCAGACCTTCCTCTCTGGATTTGTGGACTCTCTGCCCAGGAGAAAACCGTCAGAACTTTGACAACTACATGCTTGCCAATCCAGTTCCGGATCCTAAAAATCTGGTCTTTTTAAAAAATTCCCACGCATTGCGAATTAAACCTAGCTTTCAGCTGGCCCTAAAATACGGAAGGCAGGTCGGTATTAGAAATGAGGATTTTCTCAAACCCCACTCCGCCTCCCAGTGAAGCTGTGCTGTCTCTGGCACATCCTTCCCTAACCTGAGTCTCAGAACCTTCTGCCTGTCTCCAGAGGGAATCTGGAAGCTGCGCTCGCTGTGCTAACCGCAGAAACCGAGAAGGTGCCAGGCTGCTCTCAGCTGAAGCTGCGCGGGCAGGCGGGACCCAGCGCTGGGTAGCACCTGGAGTGACAACCCCCCCTCCACCCTCTGAGCCTCTGGAGATGTTATTTCCTGGGGCCTGAGGTTATTTACCTACAATTAACGGTGCAAGAGGACTCAGGTAACTCAGGACAAGGGCTTTCTCTATCTGAGGTTTCCTGAAGCTGCGACTATGCCGCACTGGTCAGAAGGAGCCCAGTTAGTGCGCTGGGCGACGGAAGCACCTGGGCGTCACTACCCCACACAGCCCCAGCACGCTTTAGCTCAAAGGCCATAATGTGATCTTGGTTAAACCTGGGTTTCCAGGTCACTGCTCCTCTCAGAAAGGGAAGATAAGACACACACACTTAAGCCTCTCATTTCCCTGCTGCTCAAATACTAGGAGTTAATTTTACTTCAACTCTATTAAACTTTTGTTCATTACCTTTAACTTCCTTTAATCTTTTCCCCGTATTTTTTAAGGGAACTTTAAAAAGTTTATTTTTCCATATGAGAGAAGAGCAAGAAACAGGCACCCCAAAACAGGTTCTTAACACTACGATCCACCCCAGACTCAGCTAGTCAGCATTACAGGAACACGCATGCTGAGCATGCACGAGGAGACCTTGGGACACTAACCCGGGATGTGCCTGTGGCCTTCGCATCACAAAGCACTGCATTACCACTGCTGGCCCTCTGTCCCATTTCATTCTTTTTCTTTCTTTCTTGTTTGCTACAAGGCCTGTATAATCAACAGAGCGAGGGAGGGAAAGTGAAAAATCGCTCCCAGGGGGAGATGGCCACACATGCACAGACACCAAGCATATTTTTCAAGTTGCCAGGTCTGGGACTTGAACTGCCGTCAGCCATGGGAGATCTAGCCGCCTTCACTACCACACCACTAGCTGGCCCCTTTTCTGTTTCTTCTACCTCCTCCTTAGTGCAAGGATAATTTGTGTGACTCTCTCCCCCAAACAAACTGCTGAAGTTCAGAAGGAAGTGCTCTGTTGCGAGGTAGGGACTCTTTGACCCACTCACCTTTTCGTTCCTTCATGAGGAGAATTCGTCGTTCTTTCACTTCTGAGCTCAGATTATCTACCATCTTATTAATACAATTGTCCAGAACCAGGGAGTGGGTTTTGGACTTGATGTCCTTCCGACAAATAGGGCATTCTACCTTCCGCTTCATCCACTCATTGATACAGTAGGAGCAGAAACTGTGGGCACAGTTCAAGGTCACGGCCTGCGGTGAGAACGGAAACACACACATAAGAACCGTCATGCTTACTTCCTCGGCGCAGTTAGGACCTAGGCACAGTTCCCAAGGCCACATGGCAAGTCACCACAATCCCATCCAGAGGGGTGACAAGCGGTCCTGGAATCGTTCTTGGGGTTAGCATTTCCTCCCTTCTCAAAATTAAGGACTTAAACGCAGGCAACCAGGTAGGCTGATGTGTGTCTGTCTACTCAGATCGCACTGCCAGTGAGTCAGCCACACGGCAAACAAGTGTCACCGGACACAAGTAGAGTTAGTACATGTGTGAATGCTGCACTGTAACTACCTCATTCATTCTTATTAAAAACAAATCTGGGGAACCAGCAGTTAGTGTAATGGCTATGTCGCTGGACTCCCACGTAGTCGACCGCGGTTCGCGTCCCAGACCCGGTGGCTTAAAACTCACGTCGGGCGCGTGTGTGTGCGTGCCCAAGATCCCGAGAGGAGAATGGAGGAGAAGGGATTGCAGAGTGACCATCCCCCCGGGGGGTGATTTCTTGCTTTCTGTCTCTATGTCTTTGTCTGTCTGGCGAGCGCACGCGCCCTATAGTGAAAATGTCTACAAAAAACAAACAAACAAACAAACAAAAAACAAATCTGGAGGGGACCAGCAGTTAGCGTAATGACTATGTCGCTGGACTCCCACGTAGTCAACCGCGGTTCGCGTCCTGGACCCGGTGGCTTAAAAACTCACGTCAGGCACGTGTGTGTGCATGCCCAAGAACCCAAAAGGAGAATGGAGGAGAAGGGATTGCAGCGTGGCCATCCCCCCTGGGGGGTGATTTCTCGTTTTCTGTCTCTCTGTCTCTGTCTGTCTTTCTGGCGAGTACATGCACCCTTATAGCAAAAAACTCTCAAAAAACAAAAAACAAAACAAAACAAAACAAATGTAGGCTGTTGGCACAGGCACAGGTGTGGTAGCTCTGCTGAGTGCGGCAGGGACTGGGAAAGGAGCAGACACCACTGGCCAGGATGGAGCGTGCAGCCCACCCTGTTCAGGTGCAGTTCCCTGCTATCCGACATGGCTCCTGTCCTGATGCGAGTTTCCCGGCTCAGTTTCAGAAGGCCTTCAGTTACTGCCCTTCCTGGGTGTACTCGCTCTGTTTGGCTACCTGACAGTGGTTCTTTCCTCCCGAAGAAAAACGACAGAAGGACAGCTTGATTCATCTTAAAATAAAAAAGGAACATCCTAAAGTGGTAAATGAAATAAACATTGAAGACTTATGTCTTACTAAAGCAACTTATTGTAAGTGGTGGCACTCTAAGACGTTTCCTGCCTGTGATGGTTCACATAATAAACCCAATAAATTGACAGGCGATAATGTGGGTCCACTAATTCTGAAGAAAGAAACATAATGGTAATGACATAGACTAAATTCACGTGTCTGCTGCAAATTCTTGTAACAATACTGTTTCATTCATCACGTACAGATCTTCAGACTGGTGTTCTCAGCTATTACTGCTGCTGGGTGATTATCTCTGGTCACTTATTTTCTTGCTATACTCCTGTTTATATCTGCTACTTTGTATATTCAGTCATTACAGAAAAAACTAATTCTCAAGCCTCTTTCTGATTTCAAAGAATTAATGTATCTCTCAACAATAAAATTAACACTTCTGATTTTAATAAATTAAGAAAATCTAAATTTTGGCAATGGGTCTTATGCCGTTTCTTAAAATATCTTTATTTCACCCGGTGGCTTAAAACTCACGTCGGGCGCGTGTGTGTGCGTGCCCAAGATCCCGAGAGGAGAATGGAGGAGAAGGGATTGCAGAGTGACCATCCCCCCGGGGGGTGATTTCTTGCTTTCTGTCTCTATGTCTTTGTCTGTCTGGCGAGCGCACGCGCCCTATAGTGAAAATGTCTACAAAAAACAAACAAACAAACAAACAAAAAACAAATCTGGAGGGGACCAGCAGTTAGCGTAATGACTATGTCGCTGGACTCCCACGTAGTCAACCGCGGTTCGCGTCCTGGACCCGGTGGCTTAAAAACTCACGTCAGGCACGTGTGTGTGCATGCCCAAGAACCCAAAAGGAGAATGGAGGAGAAGGGATTGCAGCGTGGCCATCCCCCCTGGGGGGTGATTTCTCGTTTTCTGTCTCTCTGTCTCTGTCTGTCTTTCTGGCGAGTACATGCACCCTTATAGCAAAAAACTCTCAAAAAACAAAAAACAAAACAAAACAAAACAAATGTAGGCTGTTGGCACAGGCACAGGTGTGGTAGCTCTGCTGAGTGCGGCAGGGACTGGGAAAGGAGCAGACACCACTGGCCAGGATGGAGCGTGCAGCCCACCCTGTTCAGGTGCAGTTCCCTGCTATCCGACATGGCTCCTGTCCTGATGCGAGTTTCCCGGCTCAGTTTCAGAAGGCCTTCAGTTACTGCCCTTCCTGGGTGTACTCGCTCTGTTTGGCTACCTGACAGTGGTTCTTTCCTCCCGAAGAAAAACGACAGAAGGACAGCTTGATTCATCTTAAAATAAAAAAGGAACATCCTAAAGTGGTAAATGAAATAAACATTGAAGACTTATGTCTTACTAAAGCAACTTATTGTAAGTGGTGGCACTCTAAGACGTTTCCTGCCTGTGATGGTTCACATAATAAACACAATAAATTGACAGGCGATAATGTGGGTCCACTAATTCTGAAGAAAGAAACATAATGGTAATGACATAGACTAAATTCACGTGTCTGCTGCAAATTCTTGTAACAATACTGTTTCATTCATCACGTACAGATCTTCAGACTGGTGTTCTCAGCTATTACTGCTGCTGGGTGATTATCTCTGGTCACTTATTTTCTTGCTATACTCCTGTTTATATCTGCTACTTTGTATATTCAGTCATTACAGAAAAAACTAATTCTCAAGCCTCTTTCTGATTTCAAAGAATTAATGTATCTCTCAACAATAAAATTAACACTTCTGATTTTAATAAATTAAGAAAATCTAAATTTTGGCAATGGGTCTTATGCCGTTTCTTAAAATATCTTTATTTCAATAGCATCTACACTTATTATTTGTCATATCTGGTTTGTTTAGATCATCTGAAGTGATTTCCCCTTTAGCCTGCCATACTCCATTCTTTTTAGATTAATTAAGAAAAGTATTTCGATCATGACAAAGATTAAAAAACAAAAATGAGGGTTTAGGAGGGAGTTAGCGAGAGAGAGGACATCTCCCTTCACGCCAAAACAAAACCTCTAAGTGCTGGTGAGGCTGTGGGAAAAAGAGAACTCTTCTACACTGTTGGTGAGAATGTAAATATTTTTTAGAGATATTTTTGCTATAGGGTGCATGTGCTCGCTGGAGAGACAGAAAGAGACAGAGAGATAGTGAGAAATCACTCCCCGGGGGATGGTCACACTACAATCCCTTCTTCTCCATTCTCTTCTCCGGATCTTGGGCATGCACGCACATGCACCCGGCATGAGTTTCAAGCCACCAGGTCTGGGACTCAAACCATAGTCAACTCTGTGGGAGTCCAGTGACGTAATGGTTACATTACACCATCTGCTGGTCCTGGGAATGTAAACTCCTAATTTCTTTTTTTTTTTTTTTATTATTATTTCCATCCAAAATACACTGTGCATTGGCTCAATCAAGCACATCAACATATATGTTCTCAGCAAATGATTTCCCAATTTTTGTGTCCTGCATACCTTGCCTTTTGTTTTGCCATCCTAGATTCCCCATCCCCACCCTCTGCCATGTCCCGTCATCCTCCTCCATTGTCCCTAACATTCATGATTGCCCTCAATGCCTTCCGCCCCCCCCCATTCAATTGTTCTACCAATGAACTCAATTAGTCTAGGTATATCCACTAGCTAGCACAGCTGACATATCCTTACACATGTATCCAAATCTGATCCTAGGCATAAACCCCAGGGAGTAGAATGAACATACGCAGCCTTGGCGCCCGGCCGGCTCCCGCTTCCGCCGGCCCAGCAGGACCCCGGGGGAGACGCGCAGAGCCCGG